GGGGCGCGGCCGCCGGGGGACGGGGACTCGGTGCGGGCGCCGCGAGGGGAGGGGGTGGGCCGCAGCCCGGCGTTCACGCTGCCGGAGCGCTGATTAAACCGCCGCCTCCTCACACAGGCGTTCGCGGACACCCGCGGTCCCGCCCGGAGGGACGCTGCGGTCCCAAGGGAGGGCGGTGGGGCGCGGGCCGGGGCCGGGATTACGGGGCAGGAAGCCGAGGACTCCCTTCCGGGCGGCAGGACCGACCGCGAGGCGAACACAGGTTGCCGGGGCGCGGCCCCCGCCGGGCTGAGGGCCCCGCTCCGGGCGCCCCGGGCCCCCGCGGAGGGAGAGGCGGCCGAGGACCTTCTCATACAGGCTGCGGGGAGCGGGGCCGCGGAGGGCGCCGCCACGCCGGCTTCCCGGACGGCCTTCTCCCCTTTGTGCGCTGCTTTCCCCGGCCACGTCGGGCCCGTTTTCGTTTCCGAGCCGCGGCTTTGTGCTCGCTCGCGGTCGGGGTGCGCGGCGCCCCGCTTCTCGCCCTCCCCGCGCCTCGGCCACCGTCGGCGGCGGCTCAGCCCTCCCGCCTTTGGCGGTTCTCGGCGGGAGGCCCGTCTGCGCGCATGCGCGGGGACGCGCACACACGTCCACAGCCGCGCGCATGCGCCGCCCCTCTCGGCCGGCGGTCCCAGCCGTCCGGGGTTCCCCGCCGCCCGGGCCTCCCGCCCCTCCGCGCTCGCCCTGCGCAGCCGGTTCTTCGTGACACCAAAGCTCCCCGACCCCTAGTGCTCTTCACTCCTCTGCTTTCTTAAGGGGCTGGACCCCTGCAGAGCATCTTTGTCAGAAGCGGGTGGCCTCCCTGTGCTGAGTCCTCCTTCCTGCCATGGAATGGCGCGTGGGTCCTGCTCCTGGGGTGTCTCTGGTCCCGTTCCCATCCCTTATCCCCCCGGCCGTTCAGGCAGCTGCTGCGCCCCTCGGCTCCCCAGCTGGGTGGCACCCCTCCTTGGAGTTCCCAGGGTCCCTTTATCTCTCATAGCTTCTATGTGCTTGTCTCGATCCCCAACCAAATTGGTACTTCATTGATTTAATCAACAAATCTTCACTGAGCATCTAGAATGCTAAGTATTAACCTACTGTTAAGGACTGGGGGTGTAATGGGAAGACAGACAGACACCGTCCCTCCTCTCATGGCCTATGAGAGGGCCTCTCCGGATCAGGGGCCATGTCACATCCATTCCTGTAACGTGGATCATATGGCGGCTCACCCAGTGCGAACGGATGGACGAGGGAGAGAGTAAATCCTCTGCCACCCTCCAGAGCAACCCCACCAACCAACAGATTTGGTTTGCGGTCTCACTCTGCTGCAACACGAGCTCATCACGAGCAGCCTGATAGAAGATTTTACTTTCTCAAGTTCTTTTATTATCTCACGGAGTCTCGGCAGCCCCACTCTGAGGTAGCTTTGGTCCGTCCAACCCTTGCATTCCATTTTAGTAAGGTTCAGGGAAGACAATGACAAAGGACAAATGGTTCATTGGTGATGGAGCTCAGACCACATCTGAACCGGGGCGTCCTCACTCGGGGCATCTAGGTAACACACAGACCTGTGTGTCTTCCTCTGTGCCTGCCACATGCCCCCCGACCTCAGGGAAATGTTGAAAGGGAGAATGGACTGGTGCTAGATTTCCATTTAATTCTCTTCCACATTCGTCTCAGACCCTGGCACAGAAGCTGCTGCTTAAGCGGGAGGTTAATTTAATGGCTATTAAGATGTGATTTCCTTTCTTCACTTCCCGTTAGCCCCTATCCTTGCCCCCAATTATCTGTATGGAGCGTGGTAGGCTCAGCTCTATCTTAATTGGATTTTCTGACAATTAACAGTAACTTGAGGCTGAACCCCGTGCTCATCACGTGGGTCACTTCATTTGCATGATTAGATTTGCTTCATTACCTAACCGAGAGGCCTGGTATACCTGGGCTGAGCGGGACAGACAGCTCCCCAAACGCTCTCCGGACACTGAGCTAATGGCAGCCTTGGTTCCATGCTGGGAACCTTCACCTCACCCAGAGCTGGCTCGGGGAGGACGCAGAGGGGGGTTGCAGGGACTGATTGACCAGAGGCTTGGACAGCCCCACCGCTCTTGGGTGCATTTGAAACAGCATGGGCTTTACTATATACTGCTGGGTCTTCTGGGGCAAGTTACTGTCTCTCTCAGTTCCAAGGTCCTAATCTGAAAAATGGGCATACTAAAGAGGACCTGGTAGGAGTGCCGCAAGGATTCAATGAAACAATGTCTGGGAGGTCAACTATCTCAATGCCTGGCCCAGGACGCACCTGATCCCCACGTCTCTGCTACAAGTACACACACACGCACACGCACGCACGCACACATGCACACACGCACACGCGCACACACACGCACACACCCCAAACTTCTTCATCCTAGCTGGGCTTCTCTTCATTCTTTCCCCTTTCATCTCATCTTTTTCTTAATATTCCTTTAATTCCCTTCCTCCTCCTGCATTTCCGCTCCCTCTTCTCATCTGGCTGCACTTCCTTACCCCCTTCCTTAGGTGGTAGAGATCAGGGTACTGGCTGTCCCATCTGGGCTCTGCCTCTAAGGAGTCCTGCTATTACCTCTCTGGGCCGCTGCTCCTTCTCGTACTCCAGGAGCACCTGTGGTAGCCTGTAGTTGTGTTCTGTTCTGTAGTTAGTTACTTCCATGCCTGCTCCCATCAGACCCGGGGCCTCTGGTGGCAGTCACTGTGGTTTAGTGAGCTAGCAAATAGGGGAGATTTGGTCAAGGTTGGAGAGAGGGAGGGAGGGAGGGAGGGAGGAAGGGTGGAAGGAAGGGAGGGAGGAAGGGAGGGAGGGAGAATGGGTGGAAGGAAGGGAGGGAGGGAGGAAGGAAAGAAGGGAGGAAGGGAGGGAGGGAGAAAGGGTGGAAGGAAGGGAGGGAGGAAGGGAAGAAGGAAGGGAGGAAGGGAGGGAGGAAGGGAGGGAGGAAGGAAGGAAGGAAGAGGGGGAAGAAGGGAGGGAGGGAGGGAGGCAGGAAAGAAGGGAGGTTGATTTAATGGCTATTAAGATGTGATTTCCTTTCTTCACTTCCTGTTAGCCCCTATCCTTGCCCCCAATTATCTGTATGGAGCATGGTAGGCTCAGCTCTATCTTAATTGGATTTTCTGACGATTACCAGTAACTTGAGGCTGAACCCTATGCTCATCAAGTGGGTCAGTTCATTTGGGAGGAAGGAAGGGAGGGAAGAAGGAAGGAAGGGAGGGAAGAAGGGAGGAAGGGAGGGAAGAAGGGAAGGAGGGAGGAAGGAAGGGAGGGAAGAAGGGAGGGAGGAAGGGAGGGATGGAAGGAAGGAGGGAGGGAGGGAGGGAGGAACGGAGGCAGGCAGGCAGGGAGGGAGGGAAGGAGGCAGGGAGGAAGGAAGGGAAGGAGGCAGGCAGGAAGGAAGGGACTATCTTCATGATTCAAGGTTAGGCTTATGAACAGCAGAGAATGCATGAGACCACCACTAAGTCATGCACACCTTTATGCAAATTGAGAGATGCCCCAGGCAGATGCAGCCCAGATAGGAGGCCTGGCTTGCTAAGTGGAGTCCAGTGGAGCATGGGCTGGGTTTAGACCCCATTTGCCTCCTTGGCTCAGTACCCTGCACAGCTGTACCTGTAACGAAGCTGGGAAGCAGCTATAGACTGCCTGGGTCTAAGTCATGTTGCCTCTTGCAGTGGACCAGGTTCTGTTTCTAGAGAAATCCCTGCTGCAGGCCTGCTCCGAGGTCATGCAGCAATTCCTCACAGCACCTCAGTGAGGCATGGGTAGCTGCCTGCAGTGTGATAGCTGTCTGCATACTCACACATGTGCGGTCAGCCAACAGTGGCCACAGACGTCCCTGAAGTGGAAGTGAAGAACATCCCCTCCTCTCAGGTACCCTGAAGGCTGCCCTTATTGGATGACCTTTCAGCTTTCCTGTTTCCCTTGAAATGATTGTGGACAAAGGTCCTATCCTCAGGTGGGGCAGTGGTCGTTCAGTGGTAGAATTCTCACCTTCCGTGCAGGAGACCCGGGTTTGATTCCCGACCAATGCGCCTTATAGACAGCCACTGCTCATCTGTCCATGGAGGCTTGTGTGTTGCTGTGATGCTGAACAGGTTTCTGAGGAGCTTCCAGACTAATACAGACTAGGAAGAAAGACCTGGCATTCTACTTCTGAAAATCAGCCTATGAAAAGCCCTATGGGTCACAAAGGTCCAACATGCAACCAACTGTGGGGATAGCACAGGACCAGGCAGCATTTCGTTCTTTTGCGCAAGGGGTTGCCATGAGTTGGGGACCAACTCAATGGCAGCTAACAACAGCAACGTATCAGGAACTTATTCTACTACATACGTGTGATGGTTAAGATTGTGTGTCAACTTGGCTGGGCCATGATTCTCAGTGGTTTGGCGGTTGTATGATGTTGGGATCACTTCCATGCTGAGATTTGCTGTGAGCAGCCAGTCAGCTGAAAGGGAGTTTCCTTGGGGGTGTGGCCTGCATTGAATATAAGCAGACGTTCTGGCTTTTTGCTTGCTCTGGATCCTGCAGCTGCCTCCTGTTCGTCTGACCTCCAGTTCTTGGGACTTGAGCTAGCAGCTTACCTGTGCTCTTGCCTGCTG